TGTGTTGTTTTGTGTTCTGTTTGTATGTTTTTTTTTTTTTTTTTTTTTTTTTTTAAGTCTCAACTTCATATATTGCAAAAGTCAATTGACGAGGCCAGGGACCTCACAATTCAACCCGGAGTTATCCCTGGCATCATCAGCTGGTTTAGCTTTGTCTAAACGAGCAAAATGAAATGAATTTGAAAACCGAATAAAGCAGAACACACTATCCACTACCAACCAAATCTACTACTATAGAGTCGTATAGACTCTAGGAGCAGAGTGATCCCCTCATCTCTCACTGTCGGAAACACTGTGAAGAGCCTGAGCTGCCGAGACGGGTTCTCACCACGCACCCATTGGATACACGTCAAGTCTGCTTTTCACCCGTTCTCTCTTTCCTCCCGGCCAGTAGCGTTCCCACTGCCTCTCGTCACACTCCCACTGTTCAAGGTGGCACCGCTACTAGTAGTTCCATGGACTTCACTCCGAGCTACTCGAAATTACTTCCCTCTTCTGTTGGTGAATTTCGGCACGAGCCTCGCAGAACAACTGCAGACCTATCTACTCTGTTCCTTACCCTTAATGGTTCCCTCAAATCTATCCGGGCAAGCTTCTTAACCTTACTGCCCAAACTTTAAGCATTTTGAAGAGCCTGAGCTGCCGAGACTCAACCTTACTACCCAAAGCGTTTTGAAGAGCCTGAGCTGCCGAGACGGGTTTCCCACCACGCACCCAATGGATACACCTCAAGATTGCTCTTCACCGGTTCTCTCTCTCCTCCCTACCAGTAGCGTTCCCACTGCCCCTTGACCCACTCTCACTGCCCAAGGTGGCACCACTACTACTGGCTGTGCGACTTTCGTCCTGAACTACCAGTTACTTCTCTCTTCTATCCGTGAACCACTACCGCGACCTTCTCAGAGCAACTGCAGGCATATCAACTAAATTTCTCATCCATCATGATTCCCTCAGCTCCATCAGGGCAACCTTTTCATCCTCACTGTCCACAACACTGTTAAGAGCCTGAGCTGCCGAGACGGGTTTCCCACCACGCACCCAATGGATACACCTCAAGTTTGCTCTTCACGGGTTTTCTCTTTCCTCCCTACCAGTAGCGTTCCCACTGCCCCTTGTCCCACTCTCACTGCTCAAGGTGGCACCGCTGCTGGAGGCTCCATAAGTTTCACCCTGAACCACTTCGCTCTCTCCATCGTAAGCTGCTACAGCGACATCTCCGAACATGGTACTTTCATAAGGAGGAGCGAAGTGGGAAACATCTCCACTATGGCACTATCTACATCTGCATCCCAGTATGCCAGACATCCAGCCGGTTCCTCTCTTTGCTGTAGACAACAACCGTGTGCTAAAGCGCACGTTACAGAACAGCGACTCGATTCAATACAAAGACTCAATCCAATCTGCTGGCATAGCTCGAGACCCCATCATAGGTCCGAAATGGAAGAGCACATGGAACTGACCTATGAACTCGGTCAGGTACTGGATACGGAATCTACCCGGATAACCAGATCGTGCCCCTACTACACCCACTGGCAGATGAGAAAGGTAGACTAGCAAGACCGAGAAGGTTAAGAGTTAAAACCTGATTCTCTCGGTTGGCCCTGCCCAACTAGAGAGGAACGAATCAGGCTATAGACACTATTTATATCAAGAGACAACTGCACCTGTGACTGCTGCACAGTTTCGAATTCGCAGGAATAACAGTCCACTGCAAGCTTTGGGCGAAGACAAGTTTGAAACTGCAAGAAAAACAGTAAGGTGGGAGCACAACGGCCTACCGGTTCAGTAATTGGCAAAAACGGGAGGTGGCGGTCGTTTTCTTTTTTTTTTCCTCGTCTGCGACTTTTTTTTTTTTTTTTTTTTGCGCCTGCTTATGCCACGGCCGCGCTGTCTAGGCCACACCCGTGGCTGGGCCGTGGCCGAGATGTCTTGGCCACGCCCATGGCTGGGCCCCGCCCGTGGCTGGGCCACAGCCGAGATGCCTAGGCCACAACCCTGGGGAAACAAGCCAAAACTGGGAGGGCCTGCTACTGGTAACTGCTCCCAGGCCAGGCCACGGGTGGGGCCTAGACAGCTCGGCTGTGGCAAGCACGGAAAAAAAAAAAAAAAAAAAAAAAAAACACGGCCACCACCTCCCTTTTTTGCCAATTACTGAACAGGTAGGCCCTTGTGCTCCCACCTTATTGTTTTTCTTGCAGTTTCGAACTTGTCTTCACGGCCCAAGCTTGCAGTGGACTGTTATTCCGTCCTGCGAATTCGAAACTGTGCAGCAGTCACCCCCGCAGTTATTTCTTATATGAATCAATTCTTATATGAATCAGCCATGACGGTGAACCTCAGCCAAGCCGCCGAGGACTAGAGGAAAGAGTGAAGTGTACCTACAATTATAGCCAGATACATAACACAAAGATTCCCATCTGGTAGAATTCTCCTGGGACCCTCGACCTCATAAGATGCAGCTATATGCAATAAGAAAGAAGAGGGAGCTCATTTCTATGGACTAGCCCTAAATCTATGCATTTAACCCACAGATACGGCTGTGTACATACTACAGAGCATTGGAACTCAAAGGAAGGAATCTACCCAGCAACGAAGACCAGGTGCAGAACCCTGAAATTCAAGTCGTCCATAACCCCATGTGACCAGAGGTTCTCCTGAGATGAAAACGTCTTCTTACTAAATTTGGAGTGGAACCTGGTGCCATCGCCCGTTGGGCTTCAGGTCTTCACGCGTCCGGAAAAGGTAATTGCCAGTGCTTCACTCATGAAGCTCCCCATAAAAGTCCCACCGCCACCAGTTGCTCTCCCACTCCCTCCGGAGGCGCTGCAGCCAGATGCACCGTCTGTCACGCACTAAGATTTCTCTCTTTCATCGTGCTCACGCTCTCCCTGTATTATAGTTCAAGCTATAGATCCGTTAGATATGACTGCTGGGTTGGCCATCCGCCCATTCAAGCAGCGGGATAGACCAACGCCATAGCAAAGGCTATGGTGGGCCAAGCAGCATGCGTCGAAAACCTCTGGAGAACTGAAGTCAAAGGTCACACAACTCCTCTCATGCACATCTCAGGCCTGCAAGCCATTAGTTGTTACCCGATACTCCCTTCCATTGGCCACCTCTTTACTGACTTTTCATGATGCCGTCACCTTTTAAGAAGTTGGGTGTTCATGGATTGAGTTATCATGGTGGGGCCACTCGACTAGGGATCATGCTCTGAACACACCGGCGTTCCCATCTCAACCAAGAGACGGCGCGTCACTCTCCCCAACGCGTCCCATGGAGCAGCGACCCACAATTTACGATCTCAACCAAGAGACAGTTGAGCATCATCTCACGTCGGCGTAGCTCAGTTATGGGGGCTAGGCAGGGCGCGTCACTCTCCCCAACGCGTCCCATGGAGCAGCGACCCACACTTTACCCCGAAAATGCCAACCGACCCCCGCCCGCTAGAGCAGCACTAATCCCACATGCGGAATAGCGCTGCAATAGCGCACACGAGCGCTTTGAGTTTTTTTTCAGCATAGCTCAGCGGTTGTAGCCTACTGCTACCCGGGAGCCTACCCCTGCTGCAACCCCCAGAGCAACGGCCACATGTAAGTAACAGGCACGAGGACCTCTCAAGCATACGCAAGTACCCTGGCGGGTCACACACACACACACTCCACCAATCATGCACTGAAACAAACACAGGGAAACCAGCAAGCACGCACACACAGAAATCTCAGCAGAATGCTGGAATCTGAGCAAGTCACAGTCTCACACATTCCAGACGCGGCACTCGGAAATCAGTCTGTGATTTTGCAGGTCATCACAGGCACCAAATTCCCAAATCTCTCCCTCCCAAAGTCACAAATTTTGAGAATTTGGGGTCCTACCTTTTTGAGGCTTCTTCCCCCGAATACAACGTACGGTAATTATAGCTGTGCCTGGGGTATCTTTCAGTCTAAGACTCTAAATACAGCTATAATGACCGTACGTTGTATTGGGGGGAAGTAGGTAGTGTGAATATGCCGTGAGAGCCACTCCGAACTTTCCTAATTTGGAGAGAGGAGAGTACTGGAGCAAGACCCTGTGTTCCAGTCGAATATCATATTAATTCAAAGAAATATTCACTCTCAATTGCCTGTGTTCCAGTCGAGACCCTGTGTTTTCGAATCAATCATCAGATTAATGAAGGGGGAAACCACGTGGGATTCCCAAAAATGAGGTATAGGGCATCGCCACAGCGGCCACACTACTCTCGAAATGTGCAACATAACAATGAACTTCCGGCTAGAACATGACCAGATGCACCCGCCACATTTTTGTCCTTTTCACATTTCGAGAGTGGTGTGGCGAGGCCCATAATTGCACTACGGGCCAAGATACAGTTTCGAATTGCAGTTCGGACAATGTATACAACCCAGCTTTATGACCAGGTAGGGTGCGCGAACTGCAATTCCAAACTGTATCTTGTCCCATAGTGCAATTATAACTTGTTTTTGTGACTCCCGAGGTGGCTGTTCTTGATAGAGGATGGGCCGCGCGTGGAGTAAACTTGTGCCTTTTTTTTTTTTTTTTTTTTTTTTCCATCCTTGGGCAATCATTTTTTTTTGGCAGAAGAAATCACCAACGGGCACGACGCATGTCGTACAACGATGAACTGTGAAAAACAGGTCTGAGATCGAGTCCAGATGAAATCACATGAACAGAACGCCGTCGGCCGCCCC